TTGTTTCCATTAAGGTCTTGGTTTTTTTTTTTTTTTTTTTTGTCATCTTATTTCGCAGGAGTGTTTTGTTTTTGTTATGATTCATTAGTTTTTAGTGAGTGCTGAATCTATACGACGTTATAGGTAATGTAGCCAGCTCATTGGCCTCTGGTTTTTCTCGGCCATTGGCGAGCATTTGGATCCTCACTTGATTTTCTCTCTGGAAGGACCTGCAGGTTGGTGCATTTTTTTCTGTTTCTTTTGATTTTCACATCATGTGGCCTCTAACCGTAAACTTAATCATCTACCTGATTTTGTCACGTTCTTTGCTTTTCTTTATTGAATATTGTTACCTGATTTTGTCACTGCTCGCACATGTTCCCATTTCAGTTTGTGGATCAACATGGGATTTCATAGAGAATTTCTGCGTTGCCGATTTGCTAAAGATGGGCATGATCTTGATTCTTTCATACTTTGGTGAGTGAAACAATTATGTTTTTGTGTATGTCAGTCCCTTGGTATTTGTAATATGCTGGAATTTCTCTGTTTTCCATGGTTGGGAGAAAACAGCCTTACAGCTTAAAATCTTGCATATACAAGCACTCTTAGTTTACATCTGCATAATATTTTATTACAACCAAAGATATAAAACCAAAGCTATGGGGTTTATCGACTAATCCTTGATGTTGATATCGAACCCTTCGATTTCTGGATATATCGACGGATATTTAATCATTGATTACAACTATTGATGTTCTATTAACTTCCTAATGTACCTGTGGTTGTAAATTGTCATCAGTTTTTATTTAATTTAGTTATTAACTCTCATCAATTTATATCGAAATTTGATAGAGCTTTGTGTTTCACATTACATTTCTTGAGTGACATTTTGGTGAGAGTCTTTGTAGTGTAAGAGTGAGGTATTCGCTTGTAACACCTTGATTATTAGTGATTGGTTGCTACCCGTGGATGTAGGAGAATTTTTTCTATCCAAACCACGTAAATATTTTGGTATCTCTATGTATAATTCCGTGCATTGTGGTTGTGAGTACATTCGTTCTGCTTTCGCTACAACAATCGGTATCATAGTTTCGTGGTTGTAGCATTTGGCGCACAACACCAGACCCGCTTTTTTTGTAGAACATTTCTAGTTCAATAGTTGAAGCTAATTTGATATGGTATGGAAGCATGCAATTGTTTCTTCTACGTTTTGAAATGTATAGTTCATTTCTCTCAACATTTATCTGTCAAATTAAAGTTGCTAGCATCAATAACTTACTGGTATAAAGATAATGGCAATTAAGTTCATTTGTGAGTTGTAACGAAGAATAGGTTCGTACATCTCCTATGCATGTATTGCCATTTATTTGGTATCTCTCATTTATTTGGCTCATAACCCTTTTGGTTATCTTCCATTGTGATATATGAATTATCTTGATTCATGTATAACATTAATATTACTATGCCCGTATAAAGGTTTGTCTAGCATTGTTTTGAAGTGTGGAGTTATTGTCATTTTGTATTTGCTTAGAGGCAATTAGGAGGAACTTTATAAGAGAGACTTTGTAGTGTGAGAATGACAGAGATACACTTGTTAACATTTTGGTTACCGTGATTAGCTACCACCCGTGGATGTAAGAGAATTTCTTCTGTCCGAACTACGTAAATCTTTGTCTCTTTGTTTAATTTCTGTTTGTGGGTGTGTGAGTGCAATCGATTTTGCTTCACTTCTGCTCCATCAATAATGATAATGGCAACTAAGTTCATATGGTATGGGAAGATGCAGCTATTTTCCGTGTTATGGTATGTGGAAACATCTAGTTATCAGATCGAAGTTGGTTATGACTTACTGATGTAATTGTAATGGGATTTGGGAATACAATCTACTGTTTGTCCCCTAATAATGCCTTTTACTTCTTTACCTGGTATGACTCTAAATCATAGGCTCACAAGATCAAAAGAAACTTCTTCGGAAAGGGATCCAAATCCAGTTTAGATGTGTTTAGTTACAAATGATGGCGAGAATTTATGTGCATTTTTGTTTGTTGATTATTACATAGAACATTAGTTCAGTGCTTGAATCTGCTCTTTCTTTTGGGGATTGTATGCAGGTATTTTACTCCTATGTTTATTACATAAAATTGGCGTCTTCGGCTGCATCGGTCGGGGTCGGGAGGGTTCTGCAGAACGATATGGACTTGTTTAGCTTGTCATTGTCAAAAGAACAAGAAGGCAGGCACTTTAGAAGAAAGGACCTGGAAGAAAAGTTTGAAAGTGAAGAAGGAAAACATCGGCATGGGGTCAACAAGCGATTCGAGCAATTTCCCCAAACGTGTTGAGTCGAGAACTAGCAGACGGGTGTCTCGTAGATAGATGAGGAACCACAGAGGTTTTGAAGTGAGAAAGTCATCGAGGTCGAAAAGTCATGGAATTCGAGTTAAGGAAGAGTAGAGTGTTGGTCTATGGTAAGCACAGAAGAAAATCTGTTGAGGTTGGGACTCATTTGAATGAGATTCTCCACAATAGTATGATATTGTCCACTTTGAGCGTAAGCTCTTAAGCTCTTATGGCTTTGCTTTGGGCTTCCCCAAAAAGTCTTATACCAACGGGGTTAGTATTCCTTACTTATAAACTCATGATTATTCCCTAAATTAGCCGATGTGCGACTTTCGTCCCACATTGAAATGTATGGATCATCCAAATTTGTGCATAGAGAAAGAGAATATGGAAGAGGAAGGCAAAGACGGTAGCAGCTGGCTGGGATTTGAAGAGTATTTAACAAAGGTATTCTAACTCTAATAGTATTTTTTAATTTTTTTAAAATAGAATATTAATTAAATTTTTTAAAGTCCAAATTATATTTTTGAAACACCATTAAAAATGGTAGGGTATTTTTAAATTAAAATACTAACATTTTACCTCAAGAACTAGTGATAATTTTGGGACTTTTTTGAAATAATTACTAAAGAGTATTAGGATACTTTGTAAATTTAAGGATATTTTTATTAATTTAATATATATATATATATATATATATATTATTCAGTCGCTCACATGATTTTGATATATTTGGAATCTTTTAGATAAGTTGTGGGCTTTATGAATATTCTATCAATAAAAAATTTCTATAAAAAATATTATTCAATAAATTCTCGAATTTTCTAACCAATAATAAATTAATTTGATGTAATTAATTAAGCTCATGTCCAATTAATTTACTAATATTATTATTATTTTAAAAGTCGAAACTATTCATACTCTATTCCCGAACAATGACTACTCAATTTTTTCTAAGTCCATGTTCCCGAGACTTTCTTTTTAAGACGAAACATCTTAATTCAGCAGCCTTCCCAAACATTAGTGATGCCTAAGTTTGGTCCCAACACTTTGACTTGGAAGTAGACACGAAATTTCCTCCTAATTTTCACCCATAAATAAATATAAAAAAAATTAAAATTAAAATATTTATCTAAAATTCTAACTTATATTATGTCTCAAATTAGTCAAAGTCTCTTGCTGGGTGGATTCAACGAACTTCCCCAATTAATATTATTTTTCATGCCTAGTTGATTATTAAAATATATTTTATAAATTATTTATTATTAATATGCGGTTTCAAGTTTTCGTTTTGCATTGAAAAAATATGTATTTTTTAATTAATATTTTATTTAATTAACGAAAGTGGTTGATTACATCATGAGATGGGAATATAAAATTAAAATAATTGCAATTTGGTTATTAATAAATATTGAATATTCCTTTAGAATTTTAATTCTATAAATGGGTTGGGATTTTTTTTTTTTTTTGAAAAAAATAGAACTAGGCGAGAGATTCTATGGGTTTTAAGAAAATTAATTGTAAAATTAGCTGTTAAAATAAATTTTAAAAAATAATTTTATGCCATATTGCATTAAAAAAAAGGGAATTATTATTATAATTTAATTAGTAGAGTTTTTAAAATTGATAAAATAATTCTTAAATATTTGTATGTATTAAAATTAATAAATAAATTGACGCTATCTCTCAAACTTTTAATTCTATTAAACGAACTGTTGCAATTTGTATAACCATTTGACTTTAAAAATATTGCAATTTGAACAAAAAAAAATTATATAAAAAAAAATATACAATTTTCGAGAATTCGAGATAAATATTTTGTTAAAACTACCTCCCGCAGACATATTGTCTGACGACAACTTAGTGACAAGTTTCCACACCCTTTATAAAAGAATGTGTAATCACCCCCTTTTGAGGCTCAGCGTCTTCGTTGGCACACTATCTAGTACGCAGCTCTGATACTATTTGTAACATTTTAAGTCCACCGCTAACAGATATTGTCCTTTTTAAGCTTTTTCTGTCAGATTTTTCTTCAAAGTTGTTAAAACGCATCTACCACGACCAGGTTTCCACGCCCTTATAAATAATAATTCATTATCTTCTCTAGCCGACATGAGATAACACAGCTTTATTTTTCATGAGAATTTTTACACTATTTTTTTTAACGAAGATAAACCCTCCAACACTCGATTAAATTTACATATTAATTTAATAAAATTTAAAATGTTATTTTCGAGCCACGATGAGATCATGGTCCAATCTCATTGGTTCGAGTTTTGACTTTATCATTATTTTTATTTATTGAGTATCTATTTTGATTTGATTGGCCCATCCAATTTATTAATATTATTTATTTTGTTTTATAAAGAAAAAAAAAGTGGAATAACGTGTTTTTTTCCTTAAATAAAACAAAACTGCAAAATATTAAAATTCACTATAAATGTAATTAAATCACCGTAATTAGTCAAACAACTTTATTACTTTAATTTCAAAATTAATTTTTATTTTTACTTTTAATAAAAATGCCAAAAACGATATTCTCATAATTATTAATTACTTGACTTAATAAAATATCATATAAAATCCTAAAATATAATATAATCACATGGTTGGGTGCGTCATCGTTTATTTATAAATTAAAAATTAATTAAATAACCTCCAAGTGATATCAACGTGCACCTACCTACTGTGACAAGTCATTTCAGCTTGTACGGTTTGTCAGTCCTTTCTATTTATTTAATGTCACAAACCAATGAGATTCTGCCACGATTGCGGCAGAATTGCAGTTCTAGTAGGTAAACGACAGACGGTTTTGGTATTAGAATCACTGTCACGGCAGATTATGCAAGTCACCGTCATCCTCGTCATAGGCCACGTGTCGATCACGTGGATGTGAATAAAGAGATTCGCATTATCTCGTCGTTGATATAACATTCGTGACCACCACTTGGTAATCTTCGAAAAAAGTAGGTGACGTGTCGTGATTTCATTGGTCTGTGTTTGTAATTCATCTAACGGCCACCGAAAGCGCTCTGAATTTCACGCGTTTTTTTTTAAATTTTGTTTCTATTTTTAGTATTTACTTCCAAAAGGTTTTTGTCGTGTGTAATTAAAATAAATAAATAAATAAATTAGTAATAAACATTTAATATTTTTCAAATAAAATTCCCAAAAATCATATATTCTATTCTTTCTATTTTTATATATTAAAATTTAGTGACTATATTTTCAATAAATCCTATTTTATTTTTAAGAAAATAAATAATATAGTATTTTTTGAATTTCCGAAAAATATTAATGATATTTTTATTCAATAAAAAAATATTGTCATTTTTAATTAATTTATATACAATTAAACTATATATACTAAAATATAATTTTTTAAAAATATTTTAATTCATTTTTTCTTTAAATAAAGAAAAATAATAATTTAAAAAATGGCAAGACCATTAATTATATTATTTTCGATAGTATTGTGATAATAATCACTTATATATTTTTAATGAATAAATTAAAAAATATATAAATAAAAGTGGTAATATATTTAGGTATATCATAAATTTTGAGGTAAATTGACACCTACCCAAATAATTAAAATGGTTTGGATAAATCTTATCCGACCGAAATTCAACACGTGGAAATCAAGGCTGGCGTGTCGTCTCTATCCACCGTTAAAAAAATCGGCCGACTTAACTCGTGATCTTTTCGTAATCGTGCCGAACTCACAAAAGCGGTCCCAAAAAGACCCGATCCGGATGACGTAACAACCACTACAGTCCAAAACACATTTCGTAAGTAATGACCAAATCATTCCCCCCAACACCACTGCCACGCATGCGCTCCACTTTTTAATTTGCCACGTGTCGCGCATTGGACCACGGGAGGTTTTTACCGCCCACGTGTCTTCTAGAAACTCCGTCCTGAATAATCCACGTGTTCCTTTTTTTAGTCTATAAAACTCGCCTCTTTCTCCTGCGTTGCGAGTTTCAAGCGTCGGAGAGGAAATAGCTCTGAGAGAAAACGAAGAAGAGAGGAGAAATCATGGCCGTTGATTTGCAGTTGCCGCCGGGGTTTAGGTTTCATCCAACGGACGACGAGCTTGTGACGCATTACTTGTGTCGTAAATGTGCGTCGCAGCCGATTACTGTGCCGATTATTGCTGAAATTGATCTTTATAAATACAACCCGTGGGACTTGCCTGGTAATTTTTTTTTAATTTAAATGAAATTAGTTCGTATTCATCGGCTTTGAGATCGGAGTTCATCGGCGATTATTATTATTACAGGAAAAGCTTTACACGGAGAGAAAGAGTGGTATTTCTTTTCACCGAGGGACCGGAAGTATCCGAACGGTTCAAGGCCGAACCGGTCGGCTGGGAGTGGATACTGGAAGGCGACCGGAGCTGATAAACCGATTGGCCGGCCGAAGACGATCGGGATTAAGAAGGCTTTGGTGTTTTACGCTGGGAAAGCTCCTAAGGGTGAGAAAACCAATTGGATCATGCACGAGTACCGGCTCGCTCACGTGGACCGGTCGGCTCGCAAGAAGAATAGTCTAAGGGTATTTTTCATGACTTTTTTTTAATTAATAATTATAAGAAATAGATATTTAATTACAAAATAATTTGAAGAAAATAAAATTAAAATTAATTAAATATTTTATTCTGATTTTACAGCTTGACGATTGGGTACTCTGCCGCATATACAACAAAAAAGGCGTGATCGAGAAGCAGCCGCCGCCGTCGCCGCCGCCGCAGCAGCAGCAGCACCACGTTTCTATTAATCGACCGGAAATGAACACGATCGGATATATAGAAAACGAGGATCAGGAGGAGAAGCCAGAAATTCTAAACGACGGAGCAGTGTCCGGCCGAATTCCGTCGCCATCGCCGTCGCAGGCTCCGCCATCGTCCGGTGTAGTGAACGATTTTATGTATTTCGACGCGTCCGATTCAATTCCTCGTCTTCACGCCGACTCGAGCTGTTCGGAACAAGTGGTGTCGTCGGAGTTCACGTGCGAGGTTCAGAGCCAGCCGAGATTGAAAGACGAGTACTCTGTATTTCCGTACAATTACTTGGACGCTTCGATGGAGAGCGCTTTCTGTGCTCAATTTCCGACATTAAATCAGATGTCGCCATTACAGGATATGTTCATGTACCTTCAGAAGCCGTTTTGAATTCGACATGT